TGCTAATTAAAGCCATTTACCTTGGGAATCTCAGTCCCTAATCCTAAAATGCTCCCAGAATGCCTTGGTAATCCCAAATTCATTTATTTTCTGAATGAGTCATCTATGTGTGGTGGTACCCACTAAGGATTTCTTGCCCCTCTTCTCACATATCCACACCTTGAAGTGACAGTCAGGTAGGCGTCAGGAAGAACCAGAGTGATCACCTATATTTGAACCAACATCACCACCCTCTGTTTAAATTCCCTCATGTGGCCAGAATGGAGTAGCAAAGGCTTCTTTCATCATGCTGAGTGCAGTTAGATAATCCATTAATAGCTCCTGTTAGTAACATCAGCTATCACCATCATAGCCCAGCCTCAGAAAATCCATCTGGGTTAAAACTACAAGTAAGCCCAGGTGTCTCAGCTACAACAGGGTCCTGGCAAGGCAAATCTGTTTTCTTCTTGAGATAGAAGCAGGCATCAAACTTGATGCTAACTCTGCCTCTGACTTAAAGTAAGCACAGGAGGGGAGTCCCTCCCAGGTGTGGTATCACCAGAGACAGACTCCTTGACAGTGTTTCTGATTTCCTAAAGCTGGCCAAAGTAGCCAGTATCTTTGTAGGACAGTAGAAGATGGCACTTATCTTTGAACTTGGTTCAATCCTATAGCTTGGGTCTTTCCTGGAGCTAGAAATGAGCAATGGAAATCCAATTGGTCTGGTTGTTCCCTGTGTTGATGCAGAAAGCATCTGGCTCCACCCAAACCCTGTCCTAAACCAGAAGCTCCAGGTCTCTTGGGCATGAGTGCCACACTGCACAGAAGTCCAGTGGCGGGCAGATCTCATGTCATAGATGGGACCCTCAGCACATCCCAGCTACTCCTCAGTGAACCATTCCTCATGCATCTAGAAATCTCTTTTGCACCTATGTATGGTATGGTTCTGGCTGCTGCTTTTTTGTGGGATTGAGAAATTGCCATCTTCAGTTCCCTCCCCTTCTGAATATCAGAATTGCCTCTCATTTCTCCTAAAGGAGTCCCTGCTGCTAGGAGCTGCTTCTGCAAGTATGCCCTTCCTGATGCTCACCAGACTTGTTGATTTTTATCATACTCCTCCCAGCATTTGCCATCCAGACTTGTGCAGCATGCCATTGACTTCCTATGGCTTTTCATTTGCTCAAAGTAGGATTAAAAACAAGCTAAATGTCTTGTTCTAGCAACTTCTAGCTGTCTGGAAGCTTATCTGAATGCTAGTTTCTGCATCTGAAAGACTCTAGCCACAGGCTATACAGTGGTCCGAGATTTGGCAAAATAATGAAGAGCCCTGTCTCTTTAATGAGAGTATAAGGCATGGCGTGTGTCCTAAGGTCAGTTTACAGGCAGGGAACTGATGGATCCAGGCTGGGTTGAAATCAGACTGTACAGGAAAGAGTGTTGAAAGATCTAGAACATCTGTGTCCTGGGATCCAGTTATAGGAAGCACTTCACCTTGACCTTCATTTATTTATTGTTTGTTTGTTTATTATAGAGGTGTGTATGGAGGAGTGTTGCCACAGCACATGTGTGGAGGTCAGAGGACACCCTCCCATCTTGTGGGTCCTGGACATCCAACTCAGGTCATTGGGTTTGGCAGCAAGCTACTTTACCAGCTGAGCCATCTCACTGGCCCATCTTATCATTCAAGTAAATGAGGTCTGTTAGAACACTGAGAACCTGGGGCCTGATAGAGCCTGAGAATAAGACACGACACATTAGCAGCTTCAACAACAGAAGTGACATGATCGCCTTTTCATCCTCTGATGACTTATTTGGCTCCCTTGAGGCCTGCCTGCCATCTTGCAGGAAGGGATGTTCCTCTGACTAGTAAAGGTCTATGGTGTGGCCACACAGTGCAGATGGCATCCTTCTTCTTCAAGATCATTTGCAGAGTCCCCCTGAGCTGAGCATGCTGTCTCATGGCCTATAATCCCAGCACATAAAGGTCTGAGGCAGAAGTGCTGTCCTGAGGTCGAAGTCAACCTGGGCTAGAATGAGACCCTGTCTCAAAAAACAAAGGCTTGCTCTCACCCACCCACAAGTGTGCCTGTGACCTGAGCCATTCATCTCTAACCCCAGTGTGCCACGTCTTCCCTCTGGGGAAGGCCTCTACTGTTCCTTTACTTGTGGCCATATCATGTCATGAGCAAGAAGTCCCAGCCCTGTAGCCAGTCCTGTTGCCCTGAACCCAACCTCCCTGACACAGGGCCTCTAGCCTGGCCTCAGGGTGAAATACTTGTCTAGCCCTACAGGGGGCATCCTTCTGGTGTCTGCTTTTCCCTGGCTATTCAGGGGGCTGCTGGGGACTCTCATATTCATTAATTTATCTTTCCTCACAGACAACTCTGCTATTGTTGCCACTGACTGCTAGCCTTGGCCAAACAAACGATCCTACTAGATGTCATGTTGAAACTGTCGGAAGTGATGAAAGGGCTATAAATGTCAGCTTTACAACTGGCAAACACTACATCTGGGGAAAAGTGAAGAGTCACAGCCTTGTAGGCTCCCAAACTAGCTAGGCACATAGGCCAATTAGAGCTGCTCCTCAAGACTACTCAGGGGTGTGGCTGCTGCAACCCAGGAGCTCCCCAACTCCAGCTCCCAAAGACACTGCAGATGGTGTCTGTCCAAACTTCTGAACCCCCTGTGGATTGAAGCAGGAATTTCCTCACCCCCTGATTACTATTCCAGACTTTGTCTGTGAGCTGGGCTGGGCTCTAGGCCCTATTAGTGAGTCTGTGGTCTCTTTCACGGCTTTCCCAGGGAAAAATAAATGTCAGGTCTCCAGGATATAGGGGCCTCTCAGAAACTTCACAACAACAGGAACTGAGCAGCTTGGAAACTCCAGCTGCTAGCAAGTGCCTGGTGCTGAGCTGCACCCCAACCAGAACATTTGCTTTTCCTATCAGTCCCAGAGCAAATCAGACATGGTACCCACACGAGATGGCCCAGGGCAGGGGACTGGGCCAGCCTTGCCCAGCCCTCCATGTGCACTAGAGGAACAGTCTTTCTTTGGATGTTGCCTTCACCCCACCTTTTCTACCTGGGTAGAAAAGCATTCCTTCTGTCTCTTGAAATTTTATTGAGTTTTTATAAAGAGAAGAGATATGAGGGGGGCAAGGGAAAGAGAGGTGACAGCTGTGATGGTACACACCTAGAATCCTAGCCCTCAACTAAAATAGGAAGAGTGATATGAATTTGGGGCCAGCCTGGGCTGCATAACACCTTCTTAAAGAGAAAGAGCTGGAGATGTGACTCAGTGGTAAAGATGCTATTCCAGAGAACTTGAGTTCAGTTGCTAGTAATTGCAGTCGCATGCACACACATACACATCTTTTAATTTAAAAGAATAAAAGGAGAAGAAGAAGCTGAGAGGCCCAACTTTTGGGGAAAGATATTGGGAACTTGAGGTCTCCTCATAAACTTACTTTGACAAACTAGAGGCAGTGTTACCCACACACACACACACACACACACACAAAGGTGTGGGGGGGGGAGGGTGGGTAACAAGTCATCTTTGGTCAGTTGCCTGCCCTGCCTTGACATTAATGAGTTAAGTACTTGGCCAGAGCAGAGCCACCGCAGCCTTCTCACATTGAGCATCAGTAGGAATGGGTTTGTTTGTGATTCTGGGTGCCCTCTGAGGTGCCCTTGGTGGCCACAAACACTTCTACAGGTCCCAGATAAGGGCAGTTTCCCATTTACAGTGTGTTTGCACTTGACTTTTAGAACAGGAATGTAAGCTCACAAGTGTGTGGTATGTTGTTATGACTCAGTAAGTTGAGGACTAAAGATGCACTTTATTCCCTGTGGTGGCTTTTATTGTATATTGGTGGTTTAAGTGGACTATTTCTGTAATCCAGAAATTCATTAAACTTCTGATGAAGTTTCAAGAGTATCACTGTAATTGAAAGTTGTTTTTTTTTTTTTGTTTGTTTGTTTTAAATAAATTGTTTAGTTGTTGTAACATGGACTTCATCCTTTCTGAGCCCTTTGGCCTGAAGAGGACAGGGCATCAGAAAGAACTGGAAGCCTGCGTTCTAAGCAGCAGACAGCTAGATGGCTGTATGAAGGACCAGAAGTGGGCAGGGGATAAAGCCAAATTGTAGAGTGCTTGCCTGGTTTCATCCCCAGTGTGACATGCCAGGTATGGGGGGGGGGGACCAGACCAGAAGTGTATACGCTAAGTAGTAGGCTTCTTGTTCTCACTCTGTGCTCAGAGGGCAGAGATCAGGTGTCACCCACCCTCACTGTGACTGTTCCATGGAGTTTCTTCATGCTGTGTGATGACACAGGAGAGGAGGCACTGGCTGGAGCTTCTGCAAGAATTTTAGAACATTGTTAAGGAGGTTATCTGCCATTGCTCACAATGTCTCCTTCAAAAACTCTCTGAACATGGAAGCAGGAAAATTGAGCCTGTTCTGCACGTGTGTCAGTGTATTTCTGTCCAGTAAGCATCCTTGTTTCTTATGCCACAAGGCACAGAGTGCTGCCCCAATCGATGCCAGTAAGGAATCAAAGTCCTTACTGCAATGTCTTTTTGTGTGGGTACTGGAGCTCAAACTCCAGTTTCAAGCTGTGTTTTCACAGCGAGCACTTTACCCACTGAGCTAGCTCTCTAGCCCCTTTTTATTTTGAGACAATGGGATCCAACTTACCTCAAACTCATCAATATACCAATTAGGTTGGCCTTGAACTCCTGGTCCTTCTGTGTGTACCTTCTGAGTGTTGAGGTTACAGGTGTGTGCTAACACCCAGCTGCAAACAATTTTTATTAGGGCTGTTATTTAAAAAAAAAAAAAAAATGAGCTTCTTTGCAAAAATGACTCTAACTAGCTATCTTTGGGAGAAATCTTTTACAATATTGGAAAAATACCCAGACTTCTTAATGAAGACTCTGGGCCCTGGCTGAGCACTGGGAAGGGAGAGTTTTGCAAAGGGTGAGTATGCCAGGTCTGACCTATGTCTCTTCGCCCCAGCAGACTCACCCGTGGCGGCTGCAGTGGTATCTCATTTCAATGAGTGCCCAGATTCCCACATTCAGTTCTGCTTCCATGGAACCTGCAGGTTTTTGGTGCAGGAGGAAAAGCCAGCATGTGTGTAAGTATCCTCTAGTCTCCAGGAAGTGGTGAGGCACCCAGTTAAAAGAACATTTACTTCCATGAGGCTAGCTAGGGAACTGAGATCCAGAGCTGGGATCTGTTTTTATCAGCAAACTCTGGCTAGAATTTAATTCTCTGCTTTGAGTTGGGGGCGGGAATGTTAACCTGGGTATTTGAAACTCTATAATGAAGTTTCCATACACCAGACACTTTGTATCCAGCCTGTGAAATAGCTGGAAGGTCATGCAAAGGGTCAATACACATGTCACAACTTGGTGGCTCCCACCTCCCTGAAGCTTCAGAAAGACTGCCAAGTGTAATGCAGATGCTGACCCTCCTCAACACATAGATATAACCCAATGGTGAGGGCTGGGGTGGTTCAGAGGGTAAGGCACTTGTCACTTAAGCCTGATGACCTGAGTTCAGATTCCCCAGAACCCACATAGAAAGCCAGATGCAGTAGGGTGCATGTCTGACAAGGACCAACACTCAAGGTCATCCTCAGATCGTCACATGTGTGTCATGGAATGTGCATGCATGCGCACGCACGCGTGCATGTGCACACACACACACACACACACACACACACAGAGCCACTGGTAATTACCACCGACAGTGGAGTTAGGGGAGAAAGGCCCTGGAGGAGAGGCACTCAGCAGATGTGGAGCTGACCAGTGGACAAGCAGAAAGGAGTCGAGACCTAGGATTCTAGGGACTACTGCAGGTCAGAGTGCACAGCAGGGAGGCAGAAGATGCAGTTGAAGGCCAGGGCTCATTGGGAGTGAGCAGTGCAAGCCTGCAAGCCATTTAACTTCAGAACAGGATATTTACAGGTGTTCATCTGTCTGTGGTAACTATGACAAGATGGACCTAGATGGATCTGTCACAAAATTCACCTCCTATTTCTGAAAAAGAAATGGGCATTTTCCTCTAGCAGGTGAGAAAGGTCAGGGTTGCTCCTAACAACTCTTTATGAGCCTTCTTCAGGGCCAAGGCTCCAGAATAGGACATTCTGACAGCCTGGGAGGCCACGGAAAATGACCACCCTCTTCTCTCAGTTTCCCTACTGGATGTTGGTGGCCCAAGGCCAGTATTCAGTCTTCAGACATGTTAATGTGACAGATGACACTGTGTGTTCTTCTCTGGTGGCTCTAAGTCCTTGTGTGCATCTTAAAAGTTGAACTTCCTAGCAGGTGCTCAGCTTCCCTTAACAAAAAACACATTGCTGGCCTGACCTCCCACGGGTGTACCCACACCTCACTCTGCCATGGCTGCCCACGCATCACACAACCATGGTTTTCCTCTCCAGCTCTTTGGTTCCCACCTTTCCCCAGTGCTGATGTCCATCACCTGCCTCCATCTCTATTTGCTTACCGTCACCCACTGGATCTCTCCAGACATGCACAGGGCCCCTGAGTGTTGTGAGTGACTGGCCTCTAATTCTTAGAAGGCCCCTTGAGCAACAGAGACCATGGGAGACATGAGGGCCATGCCCTATCCTCTACACAGCACTCTGGGGGCACAGAGCCAGAGTGTCTGAACAAGGCAAGTTGTCAGACCTGGAGACCTGGTGAGGTTTGCTTCCCTACCTTCCTGGTGCATTAGCTCTGGGAGACAGGACCACACCTTGCATCTTTTTTATATTTATAGTAACGAGAAGAATGTTCTAACTACCTAATTCCCACCAGACCAGAAACTCTGAGTCTCTACAGGGAAAGCCAGAACATTCTGTCCCCACTCTAAAGAACCTCCCAGCTTTGAGGAGCTGACATACTCAACATTCTGGTCAATAAAACTGACATCCCTTGAGGTAGGGCTCCATATGTCAGGGCCTGGTAAAGAAGCCCCAGCAAGTCAAGAATGCCATGTAGAGGCAGGCACCACTTCTTAGCATGCTCTCCCAGAAGAAAAGAGTCATTAGGTTTTCAGAAACTCTAAAGTGGCATTTCAGACTCTAAAACTAAACAGAAAGAAAAAAAAAAAAAAAAAAGATGCCACTAGTCAGACATTGAGAAATTATCTTCAACCCAAGATTCAGATGAGCCCAAGATTGTTCATCTGAACATCTTGGAAATCTCACTGGAGCCAAACACCATGGCAGGAAGATATGCAGAAACAGAAAACTGTGAAGATGTAAGGTCAGGGGCAACACACCCTTTTACCAAGGTGGCATGGGCAGGTGGTGGGTCTTCTGCATGAAGGAGGCAGAATCCACAGAGGTGGCTGTGTCGGAATCACAGGAGACTGAAGTTTCCCTCCTGTTCTGAATGTTCCTGGTGACTAAAACCCTGACAGAAACCCCAGAAAAATACATCTCTGTCAGTCAAGAAAAACATTCCCCATCCCTTTGTTCTCCCTGGCCACTCTGGCCACAGTGCACACCACAGGTCTGAATAGACGAATACCTAGAGAGAGAAGACCACAGTGAGATTCCAGCACAGGTAGGCAGCCCTGAAGCCACAAGAGATCAGATTCAGGTGGGGGATTTGCTCTTGGCATAAGAGCCCCCATTAGCCTCTGAACATCAGTGTTGGGGAGGGAGTGGGGGAGGTAGCATGACATCACACCCATGACAGGACCTGAGAAAACTATGCCTTGGTTTTGTTCTCGTCCCACATCCACCCAAAACAGACAATAAGGATCTCTCTGGATCTGGGGATCAGCTAGACCTGAGTTAAAATCCAGATGAGTGCCCACACAAGTGGCCTGGCCCCATTTAACCTCAGATCTCCCTCAGAGACCATTACCTCAAAGATGCACAGTGAGGACTCTGTGGTGATTGCCGTTGTGCCTCTGGGCATGTGCAAGTATTCACATTCATTGATTTAATTAAATAGGACTTAGTTTTCTGAACCTGGAGGTGGCAGGGGGGTGAACTCTGCAGTCATCATTGAAAAAACTCTAGAAGACTTCCCAGGTACTGCTTCCAGCACAGCATAAGCATACAAGGTTTCACACAGGCATCACCTCCCCCATGGATCAGATGTCCCAAGAGACCACAGACTCTGAGCTGCAGAGGAAGCCCTGGCCTCCCAGCCCCATGGAAGAAAGGATAGGACCAGGTGAATCTAGTCCTTTTTGTTGTTTCAGGGCTGGGAAAGGAGCCCAGGACCCCACACATGCTAAGCAAGTGCTCTGCCACTGAGCCACACTCAGCCCTGAATTCATTTCTCCAGAAAGCAAGAAAAGGTGAACTCAATTCTCATTTCACCAGTCCTGGGGAATCCACTCCCAGCTCAGCCCTGTGGGATGATACATGTTAAGCACAAGATGATACAAAATGTGTTTAGAGACAGTTTCATTCTGGCCCTCAACCCTCAAGCTCCACTGCCTGCCTAGATCAGTGCTGAAGACTCTGGGAGTCACCAGGGTAGCAGCAGCCGCCTGCCAAAGCCATAGAAGCATATAGAGACCATGTGGCTAAAGACTCTTAAAAATGTCCCCTTTGTGAGTGTATGAGCATGTGTGTGTGTGTGTGTGTGTGTGTGTGTGTACACGTACATATGTATAGGCCAGTTCAAGTTCATGTAAACATGTGTGTATGGAGGTCAGAGGTCGACCATTGTTCCCCAGATTCTGTCCGCCTTGTTGTGTTGGGATTTTTGTTGTTGTTCGAGATTATTTTTATGTGTGTGTGGTATGTGTGTGTGCACTTGTATGTGTGTGTGTATGCAGGTGTGTATATACTTTGTGTGCTGTGTGTGTGTGTGTGTGTGTGTGTGTGTGTGTGTGTGTGTGTGTGTGTGTATTTGTGCCCTCAAAGACCAGAAGAAAATGGTGTTGAATCCCCTGGAGCTTGAGTTACAGGCAATTGTGAGGGACAGTGTAGGACTGGGAAATGAACTTGGGTCCTCTGCAAAAGCAGCAAGTGCTCTTAACAAGTGAGCCATCTCTCCAGCCCACCTTGTTTGTTGAGACATGGTCTCTCACTGGGCCTCATAATGAACAAGTTGTTTAGGCTTGCCAGCCAGCCCCATGATGCACCTGTGCTTTCCCAGTGCTAGGATCACAAGCATACTCAAAGCCCAGCTTCATGTGAGTTCTGGGGATCCAAACACAGATCCTCCTGACTGCATAGCAAGAACTTTTACCACCTAAGCCATCTCTCCAACTCTCACTTTATTTTTGAGCATCTCTCACTGGCCTGGAGCCCATCCAAGTAGGGTAGGGCAGCTAGACAGGGAGCCCCAGAAATCTGCCTGTCTGCTGGGATTACAATCACACACCACCTTGACTGGATTCTGCACATAGATTCTGGGGGATCAAACTCAGGTCCTCAAAGTGCAAGGCAAGCCCTTTTCAACTGAGCCATCTCCCCACCCCACACCCTGCTATTTAATCTCATCTTTAACAGAGACACAGCCTGCCTTAGGTTTAGTGCTGCTTACCACAATGCACAAGGCTCCTTTGGTGCTCTTAACTGGGAGGTGAGTCTTACATGCTTCTTCAAGATGCAGAATCTGTGGTGAAGAGCAGTTACTGGCTCCAGGTAACACAGACAGGAAGTGAAGAAATGGCTTTGAATGCAGGCCAATTTGGCTACAGAGCCTGTTCCAAGTTGTGTATACCTTTGAGCTCCTGTCCTGGGGTGTAATCTGAAATACAAACAAAGTGTCTTTGAGTACAGAGATAATGTCCAGCCTTGGTTACATATCACACCCTGCACCGTCTGGGTGGAAAGAATTTGGTGAAACTAAAGTGCAGAAATTACTGTGTTCCATTTAAATTAAGTGGCTTTGCAAAGGACTTTTGTTTTCTATTTTGTTTTGTTTTGTTTTGTTTTGTTTTTTCCTGTATGTCTGGGAATTGAACTGAGATACATCGTGAGCCTGGTAGAACTTGAGATTCTGATTTGAAGTTTCTTTTCTTATTGAGTTTTGTTGTTGTTGTTGTTTGTTTGTTTGTTTGTTTTCTTTGTCTCTCTTCCCCCTCTCTCTTTTACTATTTTACAGTTTCATACATTTATGTAATGAATTTTAGTCACTTATATACAAACACGCTGGCACCATGGCAGTAGTATGGGCTTCTCTATGTTTAGTATATTTTCTATATTTCACAATGTGAAATTTTTCCTTAAGGAAACCCTTAACATTTCACAGCTGTGGCTTTCATATTTCATGTTTTTAAAGAGCACTATGAGCCAGAAACTTAGGGTGACCCAAAAGCTATCCTTGGAGGGGGAAGAGAGGATGTTATAGACAGTTAAAACAGGGTCCAGAAGCCACAACACTGCTCTTAGGAAAAGCTCTAAGGCAACTGCCAGTCTTAACCACCCAGCAGGCACAGCACAGCCTCCAGCCCCCAGGAGACACAGGAGAATGGGGGCTGTCAGTGCTTATCTGCAGCCTTGTAGTCCTGCAGTCCCCTCTTTTCCTTCTCTTTCTCTCTCTCTCTCTCTCTCTCTCTCTCTCTCTCTCTCTCTCTCTCTCTCTCTCTGTGTGTGTGTGTGTGTGTCTGTCTGTCTGTCTCTCATTATGGAGAGTCAACCTGAAAAGGGTCTGAATTACAGAAGCCGGACAGCATTGCAGAAGTGTGTATCTGACAAGCAATTGTGTCAGGCCCAGCAGACCTCTGTGTGTGTGTAAATGGTCCCATGATGAAGGTGCCAGTCTCACCTCTCTTCCCCCTTTGTAATAAAGCTCATGTCAATTTAATTTGTTTCATAAAAGGAGGTGCAGCCCCTTCTATCCCTCTTGTCCAGGGCCTGGCACAGGGATATGCTTGCAGTTGTCACTCTGCTAGTGCTGAAGGAAGAAAGGGAAGAAAGGAAGGCAGGTAGAGGAAGAACCAATGCATGTTAACTTGGTTCTAGATACCAAGCCAATCCTACCTCTGTGCTTCTTGGGCCTGTATGCATGTTAGAGTCATCCAGGTGGCCAGACTGAGGGTATAACCTTGAACCCAGCAGTTTCTAGAACTCCCAGGTGACTTGGCTGTGCCTTCCAGAGGTAAAGGCAGCAGCAGAGTGAGGGTATGACTCATGTGTGGCCAGGTGAGGTGACACTCCTCCCTTCTTTGTGTGACTTGTTCTTAAAATAATCAGAATAATTAAGTCTAATATTAGAAGACTAGGAATTAAAGAGAAGACGAAATGTCACTCATAAAGAACTAAACTACTGAGACACTGGGCCTGCCCTGCAGGAGTGAGGAACTGGGGAAAGAGGGTGGTCACAGGTGGGGCTGCAGGTGTTTAAAGATGGACAAGGCCTGAGAGGCAGAGAGTGAAGCCACGGGAAATGGGCAGGCTGGTGAGCATGTGAATGAGTGAGTGTAGAAAGCACATAGTTTTTGGAGAATATAGGATGTGGAATGCAGTGTGGAGAGAGTAAGGGACTATATCCCAGGTGTCCAAGCACCCATGTATGGCCACTTATACATCTACCCGTGGGCTAGTAGGGACCATGTGAGCCACTTGAACTGGCAGATGTTAGGGGGTAGATTAAGACCTTGCGTGAAGGAGAAAGCATCACAGAAAGAAAGCCTCTAACTCAGATGGACTCTGGAAAGTAAGGACATCTGTGCAGAGGGTTAGAGCTTGAGAAGTAGCTAAGAGAACCTGTCCAACATTGTCTAGACATGAACAGCTCAGGCTGTGTATGGCCCAGCTAATCACCAACCAGCCTGGGGGATCTGTTCACTGTTGTTTTCTCCAGATTGTCACCAGGGAAGGGGACAGTGGTTATCCAGTGAGCTGTGTATCCTCTCTGCCTCCTCCTAGGTTTTCTTTCTTTCTTTCTTCCTCCCTTCCTCCTTTCTTCCCTTCCTTTCTTTCTTTTTTTTTTTTTTTTTTTATTTAACTTTATTTTTTTATGTGTATTGGTGTGAAAGTATCGGATCTCCTAGAACTGGGGTTACAGACAGCTGTGAGCTGCCATGGGAATGGAACCTGGGTCTTCTGGAAGAACAGGCAGGGCTCTTAACCACTGAGCCGTCTCTCCAGCCCCTCTTTCTTTCTTTTTTAATTAGACAAAATTCTGTCTCAATCCCATTGCACTGACCCATGAGAGTCAGTATAGACAGCCTGTCTATCTAGTGCCTTAGGGTAGTCTTTAATTTCCTTGTTGGCCCTGCCTGACTTTCTTATTTAACAAGGACACAAGCCCTTTATACCATGTTCAACTTAAATTCCAGTCTTTTCAACTTTTCAAGATAAGGTGCTAAATCATAAGCCTACCATCCTGGCAAAGGAGAGAGAGCCAGACCCCAGACTTGGACTTGGCACAAATGTCCTTCAAGTCCTCAGAAGGGAAAGTGTGACGTGACTATTTCATGACAAGAGTAAATGAGAAAACACACCAGACATAAATAACCTCAACCAAAGAGCAAGAAGCCAAGCCTGGCTGTACACCAATATCATCCAGGCATTCGGAAGCTGAGACAGGAGGATCACGAGTTTGAGCTAGCCAAGGCTACACAGCCAGCCCTTATCACAAAACAAAACAACAATAAACTCACATATGTGAATTTCAACTAATAGCCACCTTTGGGTGAGTCAGAGAAGGGTGTGTACCCCTTATCCCAGGCTGCCATTAGCCTTAAACCCCTACACATTGGTCCCTTTACCAACCAAATGCTGATGTTTAACGGTGGACAAAAGCCAGGATCTGAGCAAACATGCCCTGTTTTTCCTGTGACTCCACAAACCTTTCTGAGAACTGGGCTTGATGATTAAGGAGACAGGACTCGGGGATCACACCTGGAATGGCTGTGAATCCAGCCTGGCACAGCGGCAGGTCCCCCAGGGAGGGCCATTAAGCCCAAGATCCTTTCTGTGTTCTTTGTTCTTTAAAGTCCTTTTACCTGACAACTGCAAGTTACAAGGGAATGCAAGCATAGACTTAAAAATATTAGCTGCCTTAGCCTTGTAGGTGTGTGTGTGTGTGTGTGTGTGTGTGTGTGTGTGTGTGTGTAGAGAGAGAGAGAGAGAGAGAGAGAAAGAGAGAGAGATTATAGATTCAAATTCAGTGTGTGATATAGAGCTGCTCCCCAAGGAAGCTTCCTGTCTGAGAGAGTTGGAACTTAATATTTACATTGATTTTAAAAAGGGATCAGAGTGTCACCTCATCCACTTTTCTGTTTAAAAAGTCACATGCTTGGAGGAATGCCAGAAAAGCATGTCTCCTTATGGTAGGTCCATTCTGAAGAACCATCCACTGAGCAACCTTGTGCACATAGGAGGTTGCCTTTGGCATGACGGAGCCAGAGAAGCTAGGGATGCAACAAGACCAGTAATGACTGTGCTGTCAATGCTTGCACCAGCATGCACATTCACACTGGACCTCATTTACACCTTTGCTCACTGTATAGAGGTCAGGCATGTTTCACTGAATGCTGATATACAAGATTTCACAGGAGTCTAGAGACTTCTCCAGCCCTGATGTGACCAGATGACAGTGTCAAGCCCTCATCCTTTCCTGGAGGGACCAAGCTATGCACTGAGCCATCCAGGAAATATCCTTGGGGTTAAACTTGATGATGATGACATGAAAGCCAAACATGGACTATGCAGATAGTGTAGTTTCTTTCATCTAAAATTTTAAATAAGCAAATTTGGTTTAGAAATAGCCTGGATTTTGGGCTAGGCATGATGATACACACCTTTAATCTCAGCACTTAGGAAGTGAAGGCAGGCAGATCTCTGTCAGTTCAAGGCCAACCTGATCTACATAGTGAGTTCAGGGACACCCAAGCCTACATAGAGAGACCCTATCTTAAGCAAACAAACAAAAAACACCTAGATTTGGAACTGAGAAAACTGAGGTAAAATTCTTGCCACAAGAGACTATGAAGACCTGAGTCCAGATGGCCAGCACCATGGGGTAGGGGGGGACCCTGGTGAGCAACCTATAGAACCCCAAAGCTAAGGAGACAGAGGCAGGAAGATCCTTGGAACTCAGTGGCTAGCCAGCCCTGCCGTATGGGTGAATTCCAGATACAGCAAGAGGCACTGTCTCCAAAATAAGGCAGAGGGTGATAGAGAAAGGCATCCAACATTGACTTCTGCCCTCCACAGTTGTGCACACACCCATGCACCTACCAGCATGCACACACACATGAGCACACATGCATGAACACGCACACACAGTATCATCACCCAACAAAATGAAGTTCTTGTCCTCAATGCTGCCATTGGCACTCAAGAGTTAGCCTAAGGACAGTGATCACAGTGCACCTTTGATGAAGAAGGGGGTTGGTTTCCCCTCCCCTCAGCAAGCAGCACCAGGGCAAGGAAGTGGAACTCATTGCTTCATGCCTGTGTCTCCACAACAACCCTTTGGGGCTTGTCCAGCAGACCCCAGATCCTTCCAGCTTAGCTTGGGTAAAGTAGCCCCTCTGTCAGAAGCATACTGACATTCATTTCTCCTACAGCTGCCACTCTGGGTATGTGGGTGCTCGCTGTGAGCATGCAGACCTCCTGGCTGTGGTGGCAGCCAGCCAGAAGAAGCAGGCCATCACTGCCTTGGTGGCGGTCTCCATCGTGGCCCTGGCTGTCCTGATTATCACCTGTGTGCTGATCCAGTGAGTATTTGCCACCCCCGAGTTCATGTCCCCCACCTGCCTGACTTGCCCAGGAGCATCCTGATAGAGTATGGCCACATCAAAGGGCCACAAGTTCATTGTTGTGACATGAGAGTGATGTCAGCTGATCTAAGGATAGTTAATGTCTCTCTACACAGTGAGGCAATGCGTGCAATGGCCTGGAGCATGGGTAGTTGCCACCAGTGGTTTGGGGCTCTTCCAGAAATCATGTCAAATCAAAGACAAGCTCTACCACTGCCCTTGAACCCAGAATCTTCTGAAAACTTATGAGCTGGAAACAGCTCCCAGTACCTGTAGTCCAGAATGAAAGCTCTTCCCTATAGAAATTCTAAAGTTACATCAGAGGCTCCCAATGTTGTCCCTGCACATTGGTGTCACCACCCACAATGCCCTCCCTCTTTCTCCACCACTACCCTCTGGACCTCTAAACTGTACCCTTCAGGAAGCTGTGCTGAGCCCCAGGTCAAGGGAGACTACAGGAGTGTCTTATCCCAGAGCTTTCCCAGAGCTTCCTGCTGGCCTGGCCAATATAACTAGAGACCTTGGAAACACAGTGCTGCATTCCCAGCAACTGACACCAAGCCAGACTTAATCCCTGGAATGATTTAGTATAAGTCAAAGGGCTCAGAAGATGCCTACCTAATTTGAATTGGCACAGGGCACTCTTGGTCAGTTAAAGGCAGCCTGTCGGCACAGTTCAGGTTGACTCAGGCTGGGACTGGAGAAAGCACAAAGCTATTTTGATAAGGCTGGGTGTGAAAGCAATGCCAGGCTTTTGTCCTCCAGGACTGGCCAGGCTGCACACAGAGACACTATCCTGGTGAGTTGCTGCTGTTAGGACATCTGAGGCACAGGCCCATTGATGTGCCTAGACTTGGCCACCTCCTGAAGCATCATGGCCTCCAATCCCAGGGTCTGCTGGTCCTAGTCCTTATGTCTGTTGTAAGGCCATTGCTACACTGGTGGAACTTCCCAGCTGGCCCTTTATGGAGACAGCCAGCAGCCAGGTGGATGGCCTTTCCCCTCAGCTATGGAATCTGAAGCCAGGTGACCCAGGGAGTCTAGAACAGAGCTACAGCTATGGTGTCAACACTTTGTGACAGCCAACATGTACTTTGAGGCATGTGGGTATCTGTCTGGGTCCTTAGGGTCCTGAGGCTGCTGATGCTCTGAGAGGCTGAGTCGTCACCCAGGGCTTCCCAGCTGGACTCTTCTACCAGGCAGGTGCACTCAACCTGTCCCTTCTATCACCAGCTGCTGCCATGTCCGCAAACACTGTGAGTGGTGCCGTGCCCTCATCTGCAGACAGGAGAAGCCCAGCGCCCTCCTGAAGGGAAGGACTGCTTGCTGCCACTCTGAGACAGGTACATGGATGCTTGTACAGAGTGGCTTTCACCCTTTTCCTCCTGGGGAGGTACTGTAGGGTAGAAAAAATGGTCCCCATTTTCCAAGTTGTCACAGAGGTGCTGAGACAATGCAGAAGGGAAATGAGGGGCTATTTCCCCCTACCACTCCTGACAGGGGTACTGGCCATGGGTTTGGCTGAAACAGTCCTCCTGACAGAAGTATCTCCACCAACCTCTTTGCTACTCTAGTTCATCTTTCTCTGTCACTGAAACCCCAGCCCCCTCTACTGTAACTCATATTCCATCTGTCACTGAAAGCATAGTTTGAGAAGTTGATGCCCCTGAAGCTCAGCTAGAACTCAGCCTGGCTGCTGAGAGAAGCCAATAAGTAATGTTGCCTCAAAGTCTCCAACCCAAGCTTGTCTCCCCGGCATGTCTCAGTCCCACATTGTTCACCCTGTCTTTCTTTTCTGCCAGTGGTCTGAAGATCCCAGAGGTGGAATTTGGCCAGGTGGCCTATGGCAGCCCAGTGACAGAAAAGCTTCTTGGGACAACACCACCAGCAGTGCCTAGTCACCTGGGACAATGCTGACAGACCTTCTCCTCTCACTGCACAATTGCCTGTGCAGCCTTCTGTCCTTTGCAGGCCTCCAAAACTGTGATAACTCTGCCTTCTAGGTGGGCTTCCTCAGTACACCCTAGAAAAGAGGCCAGTAGACCACGTTTTAAGACAAGTTGAACAAGAACCTCAAAGGGCTTGCCTTCTTGCTAACCCACACCAGGCATGTGCTTGGGTTGGTGCCTCCTGCCAGCCATGGTTTCCAGGCTCTTTCTTCTCAATAGGCCATCTGCCTCCAGCAGAGACTCCTTGGCTGATGTACAAAATGGACAAGAGGAAACGTCTCTTGTTGTATGAAGACACTGTGGCCTCCTAGGGACCTTGACATCTCCTCAAGCTGTTGTCAGGGTGTGTGTCTTATTTATTAGAAGGATAATGGTTTTATTTTTAATCTTTAAAATTAATCTCAGGCATCCACATTAATGATATGTGAGCAGCTGGCTGTGAAGTTACACCGAATAGAGGTGTCCAGTCACTTTGATAAAGCAACACCGCAGGGAGGGGGGCCTCCCAGGGGCTGTAGAGGCAGCTTTCAAATGTGCACTCTGATGGGGACAAAACTGCTGTTTGAAGGTCTTACCCTCTAAGACACAAAGCAGGAAAGTCCCCCAGATACACATTGTAGCAAAGTTAGCAAAGCCAGTGGCATGGAGAGCCCTCAGCTCCCCACCCCCGACCCGTGCCCTGATGGGAACAAGAACACAAGAGAGCCTATGTGGACACCTAGGGAGGACACACATGCCAATGCTTAATTAAGTACATTAACTTTCTCATGAGCCCAGCTCCAGCTTTAGCAGCCAGCTGTGGGCCAAATCCGTGAAAGGGACCAGCCCTTTATTTTCCATGCTGTTGCCTTGGTTTTTGCTTTATTTTTAGAAGGAGAAATTTAACGTTCCTGTTTATTTTCAAGCATTGGGATAAATACCCCACTGTTATTTTTTGTTTAGCTTTGTTTTGTTCCCTTTTAGAACATTGGCATTATTAATAAAATTGCTGCCAAGCCTCTCCACTCCCCTCTGGAGAAGGAGACATGTTTCCGAAGCACCTGAGGATGCTCTCACCTGTTGGGCCCACCCTCATCCTTGGGCTGCTGGGTACTGTCTGGAGACAGAATGACAGTAAATACATAAAGCTGCTCACCCCTGCCAGCCCTCCACAGCCTCTCACTATACATCAGGACATGGACATTTGACACACCAAGTCAGTTTTGGTTTCTAGCAGAAAGATTTGCCTGTTCCTCGTTCTTTTCCATTCCACCTGTTTCTGTGGATTTTTTTTCTTTTCATATGATCTATATTTTCATATGATCATATGAGATGTTCCAGGTCTTAGCTCTTTTTTCACAATGCCTAGAGCCCCAAAAGAAGAAACTGAGTCTGTTCAATGCTGTCCTCTAACTACATAGCTAACATGGCTATGGTCATCATTTTTGTTATTTTGTTATTATTATGGTTGTGGGGTTTTGTTTGTTTCTTTTTGTGAGACAAGGTCTTGCTGTATAGCTCAGGTTGGCCTTGAACCTGTTCCAGCCTCCTGAGTTCTGAGCTTACAGTGTGCACCACCATGCCCTGCGGAGTTTTTCAATCTTTAAAGAAAATAGGTTAAGTTTGCATTCATTGGTGTCATACATGTGGGTCAAGGTCATTCATGAGTGTATCATGCTGCTCAGAGACCAATCAACTGCACTGGACTTTAGACTCTATTAGCTCCAGTGTTCTCAGCAGACCCTGCCTGAAGTTCTGCTCATGGGGACCAACACAAATGGAGGTGCAGGGCTTGTTTTAATCTAGTTCACACTGTTATCTTCAGATGACAGGTCTTTTTCTGATCTGTTGAATGCTCCTGGACATCTGACTTCTTTTAAAGAGTTAGAACTGGTATCAAAGTATTAATGGGAATGTCCCATCCTAAAGATGTTACCAGGAATTGTCAGCCAAGACTCAGCAGAGGTGGGAAAAATTAGGACAAACACATGATGGTGAAGACAGAGGGTCCCAGGAAGGACTTCAGCTTGGTGTCTGAACATTCCAGTTCTCAGGTCCAGCCTGTCATAGCAGCTGATAGCCCTCCCAGTCAGTGCCTGTACACAAATGCAGCTCAGCTGGCTCAAATGCCCCTTAAAAGTGCCTTCCCAGTTAGGCTTTTTGCAAAACAATGGGTCTGAACAGTCAGAAGCTGAGACTAGATCTGGCTGGACATTGTCCAGCAGATGACAGCCCTGCTTTTTGGTGACTTTGATTTTGGAAGTCAGACAAATGCTGTTTTCCTTCTTGGGCCATCTCACGGGACAGATCTGGTTAGTCTACCAGTGCCCTCCTGTCAGTTCACACTGCACTCCCCACAGTGCCCTCACCTCCTGTTAGTTCACACTGTACTCCCCACAGCACCCTCACCTCCTGTCAGTTCACACTGCACTCCCCACAGCACCCACACCTCCTGTCAGTTCACACTGCACTCCCCACAGCCCCCTCCTGTCAGTTCACACTGCACTCCCCACAGCACCCACACCTCCTGTCAGTTCACACTGCACTCCCCACAGCGCCCTCACCTCCTGTCAGTTCACACTGCACTCCCCACAGCACCCTCCCCCTCCTGTCAGTTCACACTGCACTCCCCACAGCCCCCTCCTGTCAGTTCACACTGCACTCCCCACAGCACCCACACCTCCTGTCAGTTCACACTGCACTCCCCACAGCGCCCTCACCTCCTGTCAGTTCACACTGCACTCCCCACAGCACCCACACCTCCTGTCAGTTCACACTGCACTCCCCACAGCCCCCTCCTGTCAGTTCACACTGCACTCCCCACAGCACCCTCCCCCTCCTGTCAGTTCACACTGCACTCCCCACAGCGCCCTCCTATCAGTTCACACTGCACTCCCCACAGCGCCATCCCCCTCCTGTCAGTTTACACTGCACTCCCCACAGCACCCACACCTCCTGTCAGTTCACACTGCACTCCCCACAGCGCCCTCACCTCCTGTCAGTTCACACTGCACTCCCCACAGCACCCACACCTCCTGTCAGTTCACACTGCACTCCCCACAGCGCCCTCACCTCCTGTCAGTTCACACTGCACTCCCCACAGCGCCCTCACCTCCTGTCAGTTCACACTGCACTCCCCACAGCACCCTCACCTCCTGTCAGTTCACACTGCACTCCCCACAGCACCCTCACCTCCTGTCAGTTCACACTGCACTCCCCACAGCACCCTCCCCCTCCTGTCAGCTCACACTGCAATCCCCACAGTGCCCTCACCTCCTGTCAGTTCACACTGCACTCCCCACAGCACCCTCACCTCCTGTCAGTTCACACTGCACTCCCCACAGCACCCTCCCCCTCCTGTCAGCTCATACTGCAATCCCCACAGTGCCCTCACCTCCTGCCAGCTCACACTGCAATCCCCACAGCGCCCTCACCTCCTGTCAGTTCACACTGCACTCCCCACCCCTCTCTTGATGTTCAATACACAGGACAGTGGACAGCACAACTGTTCCAGTGACTCAGGGGACTATGAACATCCCCCATTAAATGAACTGAAATTAATTCTAGGGACATTGAGATGGCTCTATGAGTAAAAGCACTTACCAACAACTCTTAGGAGCTGAATTCAACCCTCATGGTGGAAGGAGAGAATTGTTCTACACACATGTTCTCTCTCTTTCTCTCTCTCTTCCTCTCTCTCTTTCTCTCTTTCTCTCTCTCTCTCTCTCTCACACACACACACACACACACACACTAACTTTTTTAGAAAGTCCCCCACCTCTAGTTGTGGCTTTAAATACACTATGGGACACATTTTCTCCATGGGAGGGAAAAAGCATGGGGGGGTGCAAAATTGGTCCTAAACACTCACACTGGCGAGGGAGGTGTCTGTGGCTCTAGGTTTAGTTGGTGGATTATTCCCTTCAAGTAAAGAAAGCAACATGGGGTCCCCAAGCCAGGTTTCCTAGTGCCTGTGAGACACTGGATGGACCAGCAACATTCTAACACCGCCCAGTCCTGTGGTGAGTTCTGAGCCTGTCTCTCCCAGGACCAAGGGGAGGCCATACAACACATACATTTTTGACATAGGGTTTCACTCTACAGCCCAGGTCAGCCTTGAACCCATGATTCCCCTGCCTCAGCCTCCTGGGTTACAGGTGTATACCAGCACACCTAACTTATGTTTGTTTTTAATGTTCTGGTGTAAGATCTATTCCCTGAAGCCATTGTTTTGTCTCAAAGACATAGTGTTGTACACACACACAGTACTGAAAAGCAACTACTTTCCATAGTGTAATAACTTTATATAAGAACCCGATGTTATTTTTAGAACTCATCATTCTGACTTCTGTATATGATGCACTGAAGGTTAATATGTAATGTTTTAATTTATTTTATGTGGTAAGTTAATTTTGGTTTCTGTAATGTATTAATGTGATTAGAAGCTTTTTTCCTTAATATCTGAATTATACTTAAAGAATAATGAGGATTATAAGATATTGTTGTGTTTTCCAGAAATGTGTATTGTTACTCAGTTGTATTGTACCTTGTTTGGAAGGATGAAGGAATGAACTTTTTTTTCCTAAATACGAAGACTAGAGTTTTCCTTTAATGTGGCTGAACAAATTTTTCTCTGCAAATGTGAATGAGAAAAAAATAGCAGGTAATTTTTCTTTTAAGATTTGCTTTTATTCTTAATCATGTGTATTTATTCATGTGTGTCTATGAAGGGATTCATGTGTGAGAGCAGGGAAATTGCTCTCAATTGCCAGAAGAGGGTATTGGATTTCCCTGGATCTAGTGTTACAGGAGGTCGTGAGCCACCTGACATGTTCCCACCTAACATGCCAACACAGGTCTATTGAAAGAGAAGTATGAAGCCATTTCTTGAGTTCTAGATGATTTTTTTAGGAATCCTAAGCCTGACTGTACTTTACCCCTGTCTGCCTAAAGAAATGAAGTTCTTCCTAATACCTGGAGGAAAACAGTGACACTATCCTGTACTAAGAGAAACTGAGGCAGGATGGCAGGCAGAAAATGCCTCCAGGTTATTTCCTGACAACATTCATAGAATTTAAGGTAAAGAGTGTGTAGGTGGCTGTGTGGTCTATATTAATATTCTTGAGAACTGTTAGGAATGTAGAGCTTGGGGTGCAATGTATTAAACTCTAGGGATATCCCTTGTTCCTCTGTTCCTCAGTCACTCTGATAATGCCATCCAGACTAGGAACATGTGCTGTAGGACTCTGGGGCAGTTTTTTTGTGAGGTTGTTTCAAGGGAAAGTTTTGCAGAGTCGGTTTCCCTGTGGGGTTTGTTCTGGTGTCCTCTCTGTTGTGATAAAATGCTCTGACACAAAGCAGCCTAGGGGAGGAAAAGGCTGGCTCAGATTCCAGGTCACAGTCATGAGGAATGCCAAAGCAGGAACTTGGAGCAGCTTATCACATCACACTCACCATCAAAAGCAGAGAGGAGTGGGACATGGCACTCCAAAGGCAA